GCCAAGCCTAAAAGAGGAGACGGAGCCTAGGAAAGAGGAGCCGGCACCATTCTGTCCAGAGCATCAGAATTAAGGAGTGGAAGCTGCAGAGACGGATGCCTTTGCCAGTGTGTGTATTTATTATTATTAGACTTTTCTGTCTTGTTCTCTTGAAGTCCTTGGCTCATAGAAGCTTTATCTCATTGGAAATGATTAGGCATGAAAAGAACTTGTAATAGAGGAGATTTTTGAAAATCTGATTTTATGTCATATCAGTGTTCTTCAGTTATCTGACACACTTGTTCCAAAACAGAGTAACTTCCTCCATCACTGCTTGACAACCCGACTGTTAGGGTTGCCTTTTTCCTTCTCTCTGATCTTAACAGTGCATTATCTCTCAAGAGAGATGTAGTCAGAGTTGATTAATGATGGGGGATTTGGCAGCTGTTTTTTTTTGTCCTCTTTTGCTTTACTGTGATGTTGAACATTGAAAACTCATTAAGCCACCAGGCCTTTATTCAGGAATTAGATGGTGTCTGTTCTCCAAAATGGAAAAATGTGAGTGTTACTCAAAAGATGCTTCATTTCCTCCTTCCCTTCACAAACCCGGCCATGTGTCATCGGATATGGCAGGCCCGGAGGAGATTGCAGCGATCAGAGCAGACATAGTCGATGTCCTCAGAAGCTTGCAGCCTAGCATGGGAGTCAGGCAAATCAAATAATCCCACAGTCAGATATGAGAATAGTGGTGATTGTGCCAGTGGAGACTGTGGGAGCCATAACAGGAGGGGTCTGGGAACTTGTTTGGGGTTGATACGTTTTAATGCTGGGTACTTGAGAAGAATGATTGTTTGCTCTTGCCTGCTAATGAGCTACGTTTAGGAGAAACAGAGTCACAGATGATGAAATAACCCCTTCACGTACACCATGGTACAGGGCTGCCCTTCAGACATGCTTGAACAAATGGGTGAGGATGTGGAAAGGCGAGAAGAAAAGCCTGCTTCCTGGGATGTTGCCTTACAGTGGGGTTCCCACACGTCTTTTTCTTCTGAAATATGTAAATTGTACGTTTCAGTTGAAGTTACAGGAGGTCACGTTCCATATTTATCTTCACTGCAGACTGCTCAGGAAGCATATTCAGTGTCTGCCTCTGCCAGGGCTTCAGTGGCTCTGACCCACCGCTCCAGTGTCTGCCTCTCTCTGCCCGTGTCACATGAGGTCTTTGTGGACATGCTGGTGGATACTGTTTATTTTCTCTGTTGGCAGCCAAGAATTCAGCTTTTTCTAAAATGATTTTTACTGTGTTCCTATTACGTCTTATCTGTTTCTTCCTTTACGCAGCGTTTGATGATGATTCATCACTGGCCTTGGGGGAAAACTTTTAGCTTCTTTTTTTTTTAAGTTTACAATCATTAAAAATGTAGATCATGTTTAAAGGATTTTTTTTTTTTTTTTTTTTTTTTTTTTTTTTTTTGGGTCCCGGGC